AATTTGAAGCAGCAAAGCAGCACACCACCCAACTTGGGTGGGTCAAAAATAGCAAAGATAAGTTAAGAAGGGGGAATCTTTGCGAGAATGAATTGTACAAGCCGAAATCAAAACTCCTACAGTACTCCTCATGCATGACATTGTGATGGACTAGTTGACTACAAAACAAGTTGTTTCACACGACGTCCGTTTCGCCGTATGGTTCGTGACGGCTCATCAGGTGTGCAATTTGAAACTCGGGTATTGAGCCAATAATAAAATTAGAAAGGAAAAGGACACATGGAAACGAGTTAAGAGTAACTCTCCACCACTGTAACTAGATACTATATACAGAGTTTGCTTGTACAATTCGTTCTCGCAAAGATTCCCCTTCTTAACTTATCTTTGATATTTTGACCCACCCAAGTTAGGTGGTGGGCTGCTTTGCTGCTTCGAATTGTAGTTAGACCGCTTTGTCAAATCGCCTACTGGTCTCGTCATCGTGCAGTAATAATCGACATTCTTTGTTCCAAAATTCTTTGTGCCATCTTCAATGGGTCTGTCAAATACAGTAGTAGTAGGTTTTTCATTTTGACCCGACGAGACCATACGACGCTTGCAGATCACAGCACGAACAGTTCACCAGCCACACTCCACGAACGCAAGTTGTAGTACTCCTGACAAGTCTTGTTTCGTTCCATAGAGATAAAAGCGGTGAACTCATCAGAGGAGAAGCAGTTGTTGAATGAAGGGGTTAAGCTGAATAATGCTATTTTATAGAAAAGATATTGGCGCACTGAGGTGTAAACACTCAACTAACTCACATATGTGGCATATCAACACAAAAGGAATAGTGCAGAATGGAGGTGTTCTGAACCCTACCAGACACAACTATGACAAGTGCTAAATCATTCACAATGAGAAGGAGAGGTACACAGGAATAGGTTGCGCTACTCGTATGGTCCCGTCGGGTCAAAATGAAAAACCTACTATTATTCTTTGTTCCGTTGGGACTGTGGCTTGTGCTCGTTTTCGTTGTGCTTGCCTTCCCCTCTTTGGTCTTTCCATAACCTTGAACCTTCCAAGTTGGAAGGCTGTCGGTTAGCGCTACAGAGATGTGTTGAAGCTAGGTGTCAGTACCTCGAATGTCTCAGTACTCTGTCAGTTTTGTGCCTAGTTGTTGCACTTTCTGACTGTATATACTTCCCCCGCGTCATTAAAATTGTCGCTTCGCACATCGCAATATTTGTGACTTGGCTCGTCTTAGTCAGACTGTCGGAATTGCCGTTTTCTGTGTTCGAACACTGGTGTGACCCTTCCTGCGCAATGTCTACTTGTCACTGAAGCCGTGGTGGTCTCGAACTTTGTCGGAGCTCTCTTCCGCACCAAGCAAATTCAACGCGCTGCGCACTATTCCGCTCCAGAGCGCATTTCGTTTTCTGGAGTTCGTGCCGTCCCACATCGTTCGCCTCGGCATTTGTCAAGACTGCAAGCTCGGGTATAAGAATCCTGAATCCCTTCTGAATACGAACTGCTGAAGTTGGCGATGGCAAGAACAAATTGGTCTCAGATTCTTAAAATGCCCTACTTGTGGCGCATGTTGCTGCGAAGGTAGCAGGTCTCAAAACACCAACAAAATCAGCGAAGCGCTTGCTAAGGAAAGAAGGTGCGGAACTGCTTACCCTGTTCGGCTGGAAGGTTGTTTCAGTGTACTTGAAAAGTGCTAGCTTGCGTTCATCGCCTGGCACCTGGAGGTATGGATCGCCTGAAAACGAAGTTTCTTGACCTGAATTTGAACGAGCGTCTTGTTCAGCGTATTGCTGAGTGCTGAAGGGTCTGCCTCAAACTCTGATGAAGACGTCGACCTTAACTGCAAGTGCAGCGAAGCGGGGGTTCACAAACTAAAGCTTGGCCCGTCGACAATGCTATGCCTCAATTTCTAGCTGATTTCTGTGCCCTTCGAGTGGACAAAATAATTTTCGAAAAATCGCTCTGGGAAGGGACAATTTTAATGACGCGGAAGAAGTAGTATCTAGTTACAGTGGTGGAGAGTTACTCCTAACTCGTTTCCATAATGTCCTTTTCCTTTCTATAATTATAATGTTATCTTTTTATATGCATTTTTCTCTTCCGCTCTGAGTGAATGATAATTAGGTATAAATTATATAACTTTTCTAACACGATTTGAATACAAGGCACAGCAGCTGAATCAAAACTCATATTACGATTTCACATACGATAACCAAAATTTGTCCTCAAGCGGAGCATTTTCTACTGACTGTAGTGAAGTCTACTAGAACTCTACGTCAGGTCGTTGGTGGTGGGCTAGCTTTGTATAATTTATTATACTGGTGAATGCACGGGATTGTGCAGAGCTACCAACCTACGTACATACCCATTGTAAGATTGTACTTCGTACCTTTGCAAATCCCTTTGTCTGTATTCCAATCGCCTATTTGGTTACAGATAGCGTGGCTTGCACCAGTACTCAAGTAGCCCGCATTACAGTCGTACAAGGCTTGAGAGGGAAAGATGTTGCCAGATGGATATGTTACTACTCCGTTACTCAGTGACAAGTTCTTGGGACATTGAATGCCGGTGATTTCTGAAACAAATAACACATTTGAATATCTGAAGGGAGAAACAACACGCCAGACCCACTAGGACTCGAACCCAGAACCTTACTTGTCATGACCAATGTTCTAACCATTAAGCTATAGGACCAGGCTGAACCGAGAAGGCGCTGACCATTCCTTTTTCCCTCCAAAAGCAGCTCACAACACGTGCCTCAAATACAGGTGGCACTTAGGCTTTTCCCTCCCCCCTGCGACCAACTACGGTCAGTTTCTGGAACATACTACAAGCGTTGAAAGAAAAGGATTACTTTCGAAGGGATTGGGAGATTTTCAAATTCAAAGGATCAGTCGGGGAAGTAAACTGCCTGAAAAGAGAAAAAATGCCATGCCAACCAGGACGCGAACCCGGGACCTTGCTTGTCATGAACAATGCTCTACCCACTAGGCTATCGGACCAGGCTGAACCTAGAAGGTGCTGATAAGTTTTTTCACTCCAAAAGCACGTGCGACACATACTGATGACGGGCATGAAATAATGGTCGGTCATCGAACATTTTCCCACCGTTTTTGGTCGTTGTCCGGGCGAAATATCCGCGCGACGGACAATGTGTCGGATCGATCCAAGGCGGAAAAATACTCCTTGGGCATTTCAATGCATATGGTCGCAGTCAAACTTTCGTTACCCTGTCAAATCTTATCAAATTCCACAAAAACA